ATGGAATGAATAAAATAATGGAGAGGGATGCACCAGCAGAAAGGTTGGATAAGTGAGATGAGCTATAAAAACAATGTGAACATTATTATAAATAACATAAACAATTGTTCAAGCTCATGTGCAGTCATACGAGAAACCCACTCTGCTTTGGTCACATTGTTTGAGACAAAGGAGAAGATTTATAAACTGTGTAGTGGATGTATTGAATAATGGTCAGGCTTTGTTAAGATTCTTAACTCTTATAGCTGTCCTAAGAACCGTTTCATTCTCCATCTTCAGCTCTCAGTCCTATCCAGTCCTAATCATAGAAGTGTTAACTCTTGTCCAATTCATATTTCATATAACATGCATTTTTATTTTAAATAAATACATTTGAAGAATATTTTCGGTTTGTAGTTGAGGCCGTCTAAGGACTGTTTGAATATTCTAGTACCAGTGTTTGATCATGAAATGTATGTGATATTGCAGATGTATGGCTGTAACTGTTAAACTTAGTTGTGACAAGAAAAATGTGTGTAAGCATCTTGGTCAGCATAATATGATTGAATATAGCCTTCTTTAAAAGGTCAGGAGCAAATGGGGATACATTTTAAATCCTTTGCACTTTCACTGCAGCAGAAAGGAGTAACATCTGAGGAGTGTGCTTTGCCCAAAGGAGCGCACCTAAAGGTTCAATGTGATGGTTCTCTATAGAAAATCATTGGCTCGTACTAATGAAAGCTTGTATTAGTGATCAATAGCCTTGTTAATGAAATAAATAAACGACCGGAGGGGATTATTTTGAGGTATTGTCAGCTTATGCAAACATTTAAAAACATTAATCAGGCTTTTGTCATGCTTGCAGTATTGTTAAGCATGTGTACAAAGAGCCAGATCACAGTTTGTGCTAATCTGTTCAATTCAAACAGTGGTATAGATATCTGTTTGCGTATTTGAATGAGTCTTGCAGTCTTTTTAGCAGTGTGTGGGTGCATTTCCCTGTGTACGTGTGTGCGCATGTGTGCCTGTGGGTGTGAAGATAAACCAAGGAGTGACAAAACATAACTGACTGTTGATCTGTGTGGTGTGTGTGAGCGTGCGGCAGTCGAACAAAACTTCAGATTTGCTCTGTATCTCCCTCTGTCTGAATCTGAATGGTGGAGGAAAGGCATCCATTAAGCTGTTTAACTCTGCCTGAGTGTGTGTGAGTGTGTGACCATAGTTGAACCCTATTAACTGAATAAATCATCCAGTATGATTGCAGTGTCAAATGGGCTTGCTGAACCGTTTTTGCTTTGCCCAGCAGTCCTGGTCTTTTTTCTTTATTTTTCCTAAGTCATGACACACTAGCACAAAACCCAAAACTCCCAGTCACAGTTAATTATTAATCAATTGGAAATGTCACATCAATCCGCACACATCTGTATAACTGAATGCACAAAACACAAATAGATGCTGGCCATTGAGCATATGAACCGCCATATGCTGATTTCATTAGATATAATTGAAGTTATTGCAATTATTTTTGGCAAAAACTGGCACCCGCGTAGGTGGGGTGAAGAAGAAAGCCATCCTTCGAGTGGTTGATTCTCCTGTGTCAGCAAACACTCGGCTGTCGAAGTGTCCTTGAACAAGACATTCAATCCTTCACTGCTCCAAGGCCGTTTCTTTTTTTAAGTAATTCTGGTGATAAAAAAAAAGAGAAAAATACCTTATGTGCTTGAACACCAATGTAAGAGTTGGCAATAAAGCATTTTATTCTGTTCAGAACATGTAATCTTTCATGTTAAACAAGGCAGATGGAGGTCGTATAACATCCTCCTCCCTAGAATTCCCTTGTTCCCACCAACACACTTCTCGGTTCATGCGTAGCTGCCTTTCAGCGAAGCCTCGGGCCAGTGGAAGTTCCCCATTTTGATTTGTATTAAGATCAGAGCACTTACAGGCTGAGGGGCACACTGGGGGATTTTGAATAATGATTTCCAACAGATTTTGCCCCTCTTGACAATTGTGCATACCCATAACTGATGATGAATACTCGTTGAAAATAAGATTTTTGCAAAACTGTGTTATATCAAATGAAAATGACGCACCAGCTAACCCTAACATTGTGTGTTTAGTCGTCAGTAACATCTTACTAGGCCAGATCTTTGTATAATAATTTATATATGAAGTTATTTCAGATTTGTTATAGGCCATCGTATTAATTTGTGGATTGATTGAAAACAGATACACCTTAAATCATGTATCCTTAGACAGGATATGGGGTTTCCAACACGAACCTAGTTCCCAGGTCCAATGTAAGCGTTGTGTTTCTTTATTCTAATAATTTTAAGATATAATAAAACAAGTCACAAGACAAAGAGCTAAATGAGAAGAATCCAATTGATAGCAAATCTTGAAACAGTTGAAAATATCAAGGACTGACAAAGAATATAGTGCAATACACCCTGGAGGTCTTTTATTAGTTCTTCTGTTGCAATATATTGGCAACACATTACCTCACACTTTCCCATCTGGCGGATTCTCACTTGTGAAAGAGTGAGATCCCTTAATTTGTGCTTATCAAGGAATTGCACCAAAACACAAAACTTTGAGCAGAATATACCTATTCAAACATTTAAATTTAGTTTAAAAAAATGTGTCAATTTCACCTGCGAGGATGACTGTACAGTTAGTACCGGAGCTGATACAGTCAGGTGTAAAAGATTGCTCTCTGTCTCCATGACGATTTAATTAGAATCAGTCACGACTTTCACACAGCGTTCTTTGAGCCAGATGAATAAGCACTAAAGGACACTTTTACACACCTGACTTTGCATCGTGACAACCACAGTTTTCACAAACAGTCTTAATGTCAGCAATAAGTTCCTTGTTAAATGGATAACAACGTGCCACACTGCAGATAACAGATTAGAAGCCCACATGCGCTTTGTGGATGTCTCTGAAGGACAGCTCTTGTCTCGAACTGATTTCCCTGAAGTTTCTCCCTCTAATAAACTATGATTTAGTTTGTCTCACTGCGAAAATGAGAAGAGAGACAAACAACCATGTGGTCATTTTGTTCAAACACAGTTAAGAGACCTCCCAGTCTGCTGTTGAAGTTTAATAAGGTAGACAGAGGCGCTGTTTCTTTATAAAGATATTTTAGTTTTTCTTTCAACACCCCTTTGAAGATTTCTTGCGGGAACCCCAGTTCAGCCTTGCTCTCAAATCATGCTGTTACATTTGGGCAAGACATCAGGGCAGTTAGAGTTTTCTGGAGTGATTCCTATTAAGAGCTCAGTCCGGGAAACCTTTCACACCAGACATTACAGCCACACAGTACACACACAAAATACACACACAGCTAACTGCCAAGATACACTTCCTGGTGGTGGTTCAATGCCATCGATGAGCTTGGCACTGAGACTAGGCCAGCCAATACTCTGCTGCCCACTGGCTTTCACACACACACACACACACACTAGCCTCCCATCACTTCTGTTTCTCTCAGACAATATTACGAAGCCTGTCTGTCTCGGTGCAGAGTTGGAAATGCATTTATAGGGAAGGCACAGGTAGAAATACTTACAGTGCATAGGGGAACATGTGAATGAAGCAGTAGGGAATATGATTTAGATAAAATGTAGCAATGACATATGGGAGTTTGACAATTTCACTAGTTACACTGAACACCCAGAGAGAAAGTTAGGAAAGAGATAAACATGGAAAAAGCATCGCCCCTGTTTACTTGGGTGATTTTTCTCCCCCCTGGATTTCCCCCTAGAAAGCATGCTGTCAAGTAAGAACTACAGCTATAGTATTTACCTCGGGAACGAGCAAGATAGAAGTTGACAATGGTAAGAATCGGGACTGCGTTTAATCACAGGGTGATGATTTCTGCAGCTGTGGGGGATAGATCTGTGTGAGTGTTTGTCAGATCGTAAGCTTATGAATTCTAACTCTGTTGGGAAATAAGAACGATGAGGTGGCTGCTGTGCCACAGGCGGCACCAAATGGAAATATATGATGATGGTGCATGTGTCGCTGCTGCAGCTTTGATATAATAGAACACAACAGAATACAGGGAGGCAATACCAGCAGATGTAATCATAAGTCATTTTAGGAAAGGATTTTCTTTTGTTATATGACTCTTGCTTGTTTGATTGGTACAGTGTGGTGGGGAACTGACTGACTGATTTGGACAGAGAGGGTTTGTGTTGGCAGGTAATTTGGTTTTTCCAATGGGAGTTGTTAAATCTGGCCTATATGACAGCAGCTCCGCGGTGCAATGTCATTGAGAGCATTGGGGCATATTGTGACATAATTTGGCAGGTAACATAATGGACACACTGCTATTTCATCCTTACACAATATGGACTTCTTTAAAGACTCACTTAACACCTCCCAGAACTATTGTCTAGGCTGACCTCCTGGGTATTAACTTCTGACAAGCTGCAGTGAAGTAAAGTAGAATAGAGGACCCAAATTAAATCAATGTTGGATTCAAACAGAGAGGGCAGAAACACACTATCGTTATCTTCAAGAATGATTATAATTTGTATTCATCAGTTATTTGGTAATCATGAATATCTATTTCACTTCAGGTAATATGTGTTATAATCCTTTGTCATCTTTGCTCCTAAGAATTCATGTTTTAATAAGGTCTTCAGTATTTGTTTGTAATTGTATAAGAAGGTTATTGTTAATTACTTCAATTGAAAGCCAAAGATTTTGATTTATAATTTCTCCATATATGTTTAAATGTATGCTTGCCTGTCGAGAAATTTACATTTTTTTGCATACACAGCTGATCTACATTACAATGACAAAAGTACTATGCTGTAGATAATGGTACCAATTGTGGGTTAATGAATTATAATTCTCTATATATACTACCAAATAATAATCCTCCTTGGAAACAATTAGGAATTTGGTTAAAACTTAGATACCTGTGACATGAAGTTTGTTCTGATAGATATTTATCAGTTTGTTTTAAATTGCCTGACATAAAACATTTGTTTCTTTTATCTTTGCAGGATGATTCCGTCCAGCAGCAACGACTTCCTGGTTCGGGACCTCGCCCCCGGACGCAACTACGATCTCTGTGTCCTTTCCGTGTTTGAGGATGTCGTCACATCACTGACTGCAACGCGTCCTTTGGGCTGTCTTTCGTTCACCACGGACACAGAGTTCAGTCAGTGCCAAGCATTGCACAGCCACTTCCTGGGTGGCACTATGATCATCATCATTGGAGGGATTATTGTTGCATCTGTGCTGGTTTTTATTATCATCTTAATGATAAGATACAAGGTTTACAGCAACCAAGGGGCAGGCCCCGGAAAAGCAGCCATCGCAGAGACTGTACCAAGACCTCAGAGCAATGGTCAAGGAGGAGGCGCACAGGTCCAAGTCCTCCCTCACTCTGCCTCAAAAATGCCTGACAGTCAGGACGACCAAGCGATGGCGCCCTCCAGGGCCATGTCGCCTAGCAACACTCTGAGAGACACTGTGGCATTGGTCGAGGAGGCGAGCAGTGGACGGAGCATAATGACAAGGACTGACTCCTTGGCCAATGACGAGTTCCTCTCGCCCACCAAGTCCCGCTTCTCCTCCAGGGTCGCCATTGAGATGAAAAGCAGGCCGCCATCTGTCGCCAAAGAGCCCACCTCCCCCAAGGAACCTGCAGGTAGTAGAGAGACATATAGGGATATAGACATATAGGAGGCAAGCAGCAGAGTTGGGAGCATGCATTTCATAGAGGTTTGAAGATAAATAAGCAAAACATGATAGAGAAAGGACCAGGCATTTCTAAATCAAAGAAAAATAATACAGTTCAACAGAAAGAACTGGAGGATAAGAAATGGATAATGTAGAAATTGAAAATGTGAAAGTGAGCAAGATAATGACGGAGTGGATGAGTAGGGAACCGACGTATGAACGAGAGAATGAATAAGAGATACCATCCTTGTGTAATGGGAAGATACTAGTAGAGACAGAGGGGGAACACATGTTCTCTCTCTGAGCTGAAGTAGCATCGGAAATCCTATTTAAGTCCATGCTCGATGGTTGTTGAGAAATCAGATGAAGCCGTCTTTCACTCCTTTTTTTTTTACATGATACAACAATCTTGGATTACTCCCCTACTGTATAGTGAAAGTAGCTTATAACCTCACGCCCGCCGAGCTCATTGCTTTGGGCTTTCTGCTCTTGTCAATTACCAAGCGTCATTTCTGATACATGGTAGGTAGATGGTAATACAAACCTGTTAAGAAATGTAAGAAATTACTTGGTTTGTTTAATTTGCCCGAGTGAAATTGTCCTGATGCTGTGACATTTTAGTAAAAAGAAAATGTTGGGCCTTCTTAATGAGACTAAGAGTCAAAATAAATTAAAAAAGAGGGATTCTGTAATACAAGTGTGGTCATCCACTGCACCATAAATCACTTTCTTCAGGTTGGCATTCTTTGTTTGTCCTTCATTAGGGTGCAACAAACTATTAGACTCTGAGGAGGCTTGTTTACCATTAGGAAACACACAACCAGAGTTGTTACTACAATTAAAAAAGAAAGGCTATAGAAGGTTGACTGAAGTTCAATGCTATACTGAAAGAAATCCTAAACCCTAATTTACCCTGTTCAAAAACATCAATATGTGAGAGTTACACAACTTTTATTTATCACATCTGTGTGCCTTCCTTCGTATAACCGAATATTTAAAACAATGTAACATACAGGGGTTCATTAAAAGCAACATGGATCACTCGTCTCTTTGAGTGACTATGTGTGAATATTATATTTTATACTTTTTTTTTTTTAATAAAAACTACATAATTTAAGAACAATTTAAAAATAAAATGTATAATAGTACATCTTGAAACCAATGTAAGATCTAATACACTACAGTATATATGTTTTTAGACAGCTGCAGTCATTCACAGTTCAAATGTGTGCCCCAAGGTATTCTCTATATGAATCCAAGCCACGTAAATTAGGTTTCAGCGGTAGAGTCATAAAACTCCTCCAGGGGTAGGAAAGCATAATCTGGCAAACACATAAACAGTAATTTAGATGGAATATAGTATACATAATGCACAAGGTAACTGATGCAACCACAACTATTATTAATGTGTATACTTTGCAATAATATGCTGAAAGAAGAGGACATATGAGCACAACCAGTAAAAGCAGTGCATTTGTCGTTAAAAGGCATACCAGTAATGGCAGTAAACGGTGCAAGCACTCAGCAAGTGTCATAAGAGTTATTCATACAGTGCATGTACAAAGCTCTTCACTATGATTCAAAATATAAACAAAATATGCACGAAAGATAGGTAAGATCAATACAATCTATGATTCGATATAAATGGAAGAAGCCCAGATGTCCTTAGAAAAAATTGCCAAGTTTCACGTTTAAAACCTCTCAAGGAATTAAACCGACCTCAAGGCTGTGCTGGTACCAAAAAGTACTTTCTGAAGATCTGTAGTGATTGTAAATGACAGGCTTCAGTTGAGCGCAGTCACAATCCAATTTGCTGAACTGAAGTTGGTTAATTTCCTGCTTCCAAACTATTAGTACTGGTTGAGCTTTCAGCTGTCTCTTGATCTCTCGCCTCTCTTGTCTGTACATGGACTGACCTCTTCTGCCAGCTGGAATAACATGCTTTTAGATTCCTTTGTAGTGGCTGCTGGCGTACTGGCACTAAAAAGCTGCCAGAAAGCTGGTGAACAGTTGGTAAGAAATAGAAAGAGATTTCAGACACATTTTGTCTTTGAATAAAATAAGAATTATTTATTTAAACGTGTCAGTACTATTTTAGTGATGCTAAAAACATGATGGCGTAATTACAGTTTTGCACAATTGTAGTATGATTATATACATTGCTACATACATTAAAACTACTTAATCCTACATTTTTAAGATACTGATGGAAAATTACTTTGTGTTAATGGCAACAAATGCTATTAAATTATATTAAGTGTATATGTAATCGAACCCCTGTTCTCTTGCATGACTTGCATACAGTATGCTCACAAAGGTCACCTTAAAAACTAATAGTGCTAATATAATAGAAATCCACAAGGGCATTGGAATTTTCTTTTCGGGAAGATTTTCCGTGTAATAAGCCCACTCTAGTGAACTTCCCCTTTAACACTAATCCACTCAGAAAATGTGGATTTCATTAAAATGAATAAATGGAGACAATATTTCACATGAGTGGCTTAAACAGCTGAGTTGAAATACTTTATCTGCTGCTGATATGTCATTAAATTGGCCTCATTGAATGGGTTTAAATGAGGTGTCATCGAGCCTCACGTTGATACGGGGGGAGGTGAGAGATCTGTGCAGAGCGCAGCAGCTTAGCCAGCAGGTTCAGGGAAAGTGTTCACCTTTGTGAAGTCTGCTGAATCGGGAGTAGGTTGGACATTTAAAACAAATTAAACTGTTCACATCAAAATATATGGGAGGCTGTGGTGCAGTGGGTTAGTGTGTTGGTGTTCGGATCAGGGGAGCACAGGTTCAAACCCCACTGCACACAGCCAGCATGTCGTTGTGTCCCTGGGCAAGACACTTCATCCCAAATTGCTCCTGTGGGGATTGTCCACAGCATTGAGTAGGTAAATCGCTTTGGATAAAAGCGTCTAACAAGTAACATGTAATGTAATGTAATATAATTACTGTTTAAAAGAAGATTTCTGAGATTTTCCGATGGTTTCAAATGCCGTACAAACTCATAGGCTACATTACTGGCTTAAGATATCAGAGTAGAACAAGTTTCTTTCTAGTTGTTTTTCTCGCCTCCGATATGATATGAGGGCAAGGCTGCTCTGTGAGGTTGACAACTAAATTGGGGTTACAAAGCAGATCAGTTGAGGAGTTCGCATTAGTGCTGTAACAGGCTAGAATGTTCTTTGAAGTTTCCTTTGTTGTGGTGTTGAGGTGCCACCATGTGAACAAACACAAACATTTTCCCTCCAGGCCTAATTAACAGCTTTAACCTTATCTCAACCTTAACTGACTGAAGTGTGTCACTCAAAGGAGCTCCAACGAGCATCACAGAATCCAATGAGACCGACCAACAAAGCAACTATTATAGTTTTCATTGTTGACACTTCACCCCGGAGAGATACGTTACAGCAGGTCTTTCTGCTATTTCTTTGATTTCGGGAAAGTTTGCACACGGAGGGCGACCTAGGATAATACCCATGTGTTTGTACAAAGGTTGTCGGGGTTTCTCAGGGTGTAGCTGTGTCTGTGATGTGTTTCTCTGGTTGCTGCATTGCAGAGAAAGGCAACATTGATCTGATCAGAGAGAGAGCCGCAGTGAGTCAGAGCGCCTGAGGAACAGAGCAACTGACAGATACACAGAGAGGCCCCATTAAAGGCCTACAGTTGTCAAATATGTAACACAACATGAAAAAATAGACACATTGTGGGTGATAGTTTGTTTGTTTTCAGAGACTTTTTGTTCACAGTATAAGATGTAGGAACTGAATACATACATTTGTTAAATATTGTTCCGAGTGCAGTTTTTGCAGGGAAAACAGGTTGCATGATAGGAAATGAGTCTGCCTCAAATATGTTTATGAATATTGTCAAGTCATGTTCATAGGGAGACAGTTAGTGATTTCCATACTGATTTAAAGGTAATATCAAGATGACATTATTCAGAAGTCTAAGTTAGAAAAATCCAGTGAGTATCCTCATCTTGTTTGTGATTTTGTGACACGTATGGGTATATGAGTGTTGCATTCTGGACCTATCCATTAGGTTAGGAAAATAAATAAATGAACCGAATACAGATACAAAAAAAGTGATGGTATTAGTTTCCCCCTCAGAGCTTGAGATCTAGCTTGTGCTGCTGCATGTGGATTCAGCATCAGAAGTAGCTCCTTAACCTGAATACTAAGTGGGGAATTATCAGTAATTATATGCTTAACACACACATATTATGATTATGTCAAGCAAAGTGCTATTAGTTCAAGAACAGGCAACCAAATATTGAATGTGTGTGTTATGTAGAGACAAAAATCCACAGTGTAAACTAATCATTCAAAGTACTTTTAGGTTCGTTTTAGGGCAAGCCTTTAGGTATTGAATGAATAAGAGGTTAATCAATACAATATCCTCACAGTGAAAAAAACAAGTGTTAGTGTGCTTGTACGCTCGGCTACATAATCCCTGCAGGTCGGTGCATGTATTTGTGTGTTGTGCCGTACAAGGTTTAACCGCCTTGAGCCAATGCAAATGCTCCCACAAGGTTAAGCCAGATGGAAAAGTCGCCCAGTAAACACAAGGATGTGTGTGTGAGTCTGTGTGAAGTGCAAGTGTGTGTTCTCCGCATGGCCCATCCATGACCCTGTAGCCTGTCTGTCCTCCATGTATTTTAATCTATGATCACTTCCTTCAGTCATCCCGTATGCCCGGCCTCATTCTTCACTGCCGTCTGTCCTTCGGAATCTCCTCCTCTCCCTCTCTCTCTCTCTCTCTCTCTCCCCATCACTTTGTGTTTTCCGTGCTCTCTCTGTCACCTTCTCTCTTCTCTATTCCTCACCAGCTTTCTATCCTGACATCTTTGCTTCCTTTCCACCCCTTATTTTTCTGTGCAGTTTTCTTTCTGCATCTGTGTCAGTGTTTTTTCTGATTCTAAGAGTTTCCCTCCATGTCTGTCTCTCACTATTTTGCATCTTTTGGCCCTATTTCCCCCCTCTTTTTCTGTCTCTCTATCTTCTGGATGCCTCCAGCAGCAGACGACAGGCGGCCTCATAGTGTCGTATGGAGAGACTTTAAGATCTGAAGGTCTCTCGGTCTCACAAAGAGAGTGCACCAACACTACAAAAAAAGAGTAATAACTACCACAAAAAAATGCCCTATAGTTTTCCTACAGTTTCTCCCCGTCTCTCACCCTGTGTCACTACTCCTCACCTGTCTGTCCCTATCTCAGTCTCACTCCTGTGTAGCATGCTGCCATCTGACACTTCCTTTGGGGGACTCTTGTTTTCTGGTCTGGTCAGTTTACACAAATAACAAAAAACACATTTTGTGACTTTCCTCTAGTGGATTTGTGTGCTGATGTTTTGAGATATCCATCTTTGAGAGTACAGAGGGAATTTCATCTGTGTTCCTTACAACAGAAACCAATGAAATGTATTTTAAGGATTACTACAACAATTATTCATTACATTGGGATATTGAGAGATTCTACTATATTTCTATATATTAGTAGAAATGCACATACACACAATTTGACAATATTATTTTTTATGGCAATTATCTAAACTATCTGCAACAAAAAATATTATTTTCAGCTTAAATGTAAGGCGGTGGGTACAGAAATATCAAGGACTAGCATCTCAGAATTAGGCGTATTAAACCCACGTGATGGCCAGATGACACTAGGAGAAAGAAAAAAATGTTGTTTTGTAATTTGGGTGAACCGATAGTTTCCTTCGTTTTTCTTTAAATGATCCCTCTTTCTTAAACTGTCTATCTTTTTTTTCACTTCCCTGTTAACCTTCTTTCAATTTCTATTGATCGTGTCTCAGGTTTCAGGTTCTTTATTTAATTTGCCCTACGTTTATGTTATCCTCCTTCCCTTCACCATTCCTCCTTTGTTTTTTTTCTTGTTAATGATACCTCCCTTTGTGTTTCTTCTCATCCAACCTTATTTGTTGTTTGTTTTCCCCTTCTTTTCTCTTTGATTCTCTTAATTGTATCCTTTTTCAATACTCATTATCTCTTCCCTTACCTCCATTTGCCTCATTTATGCTGGCACATCCCTTTCTCTGTAATGCTCTGTTTGCACCAGCTGGTTTAATCCCGTCCTTGCCCTTGTCTGTTTTCAATTCAAAACACCGTTGTCTTTGTAGTTATATTTTATTCCTTGTGTCCCTTTCTATCCATCTCACCACTCGCACTGCATTATCGTCTTTGCGTACTGCCTTCTCCTCTCTGTCTCACCCCATCTCCTTCATCAATATGCGTGTTGCAAAGGGTGATGGAGAGAAGACGGGAGAGCAATGGAGGATGATGGATGAGAAGACAGTGGTGATGTGCTGTGGTTGAGATGGATGAAAACAGACTGAGGCATTCAAAAGACTCTGCCTCATTTTTTAAATAACACAATCAGCCCAGGCTGTACATAAATGCAGTTAGGAAATGTTCCTCCTGACAAATACAGTTAATAAATGCTCTCTTGACAAACATACATATAACAAATAACAGCTGCAGCAATATACCACCAAAGCAATTACAGCTTCATCCATCTCCAAGCTATCGCACCTCTTTGCTTTCCCCTGTCAGCAGACTTTGTTTGTGCAGGCATTTGTATCTCCTGACTGCACAGCACTTACACTCTGACACTGCTTTCACAAAAGATAACTAACAGATCCTAAGAAGAGAGAAAGTGTTTCGATTGAATGTTTCAAGGAACACAAGAAAACGTTTTGCTATATAGGAAGTATATGGATATTATGTCAAAAATGTGATTTATACATTACAACAAAATATACTCAAATGTTAGGAGTGTCCGTTTTCCCCTAAGTCTGAGAAAAAACATGACGTGAACCTTTGTGTTCCTCCTGTGTCATATTCTTATAATTTCTTCCGTTCCCCTCAGGAGGTAATAAACTCACAAAAAATACAAGTCTTCTCTGTGAATATTAGCTTTTCTGAAAGTTCTAAGTTCTTGCAAAAGTTATAAAAACCAATGAAACAATCTCCTCCTTTGGGTAAGATCAAGTCCGGTGCAACCAGGGACACCGAACAGCAGAAGTGAAAGCCACTTAAAGTTAAATTGGGCTTCCCCACCACATGTTGAAGGCAGTCAACGTCTTAATGGTCATTGTTAATCACAATTCTAATTGATGTATTACAGATCTCACAGGTGCTTCATTGTGTCTAGACCCTGTGCTGTTTTCAGTAAAATATTCCAAGTACCTTGTTTTTCTATCCTTTTGTCAAGACCTGATGTCCTACTCCACATCCCTGCTGTTTTAATTGTCCCTTTTAACCTCTTTGTTCTAAATCCTACCCTTTAGAACAGTACAGTGCAATCCTTCCATTATTGTCCTTTTCCTTATAGCTTAAGATTGTTTTCAAACCGTTATGTTCTTTCTCTCCTGTTTTCTAGAACCCTGATGATGTTGTTCTGAGTGGCAGAATTGGAGAACGTCACCACCAGGGAGAAGCTGGTGAAAACAGAAGAAAAAAAGGCCCTATAGCCCCCCTCCCGTATCTCCTGTTTACTGTGCCCATTTCTTTGTTTCCATAAGTACCATGGGGTCATAGACCTGTACTGTCTGGTTTACTTTTTGCTGATTTTGGTTCTCATGTCTGAATTGGACAATCGTATCAAGGCCCGCTGTCTATTTGCCTGCCGATTCGCCTCTTGCTACAGGATCCGGCTGGCAGTGTGATCATCATTAATCAGTTTTGAATGGAACGGCACGCACTGAATGCTGAATTTTCCACTTGAATCATTTGTATCAGTGTGAAAGTGGATACAATGGGCGTAGATAATTTCAAAAGAAAACAAAAAAAATACTTGTGTTTTGACATGATTATGGACGGAAAATATGAATGAACTTCTCCCCATCTGGAGCAGCATCAACATGCACGGACAGACACCCAACAGATGGTAAAAACAGACTGAGAATGTATGGCTAAACAGTAAAAGTTGGATGCATAGATAATCGCACACAACCTGGATATACAATATGTTAGACTGCACAAACAGAACGCAATTAATATCACACAAATGGATCCTGTTTTGGATATGAACATTAAAACAATATCAGCGCACTCTTTCTGCACATAAGGAACTCTCAACATGGCTGGCTGTAGATGGCTCAACTTTTGTATTCCATGTGAAATAATGGAATAATGAAAACTGAACTGTGCTGGGCTGATCCGAACTACACTGAACTGGAGCTGGATTTGAACCTTGACTAAATCCTGTTATCAATCAGCAGTCTGTTTCTGGAAATCAGTATATAACAAAAACCTGAACTGAAGTGGATCCAGATCTAGAAATGTACACTGGTCAAGGATTTGGACTGTGCATTGATCTACAGTAGAAAAAAACTTGACTAGACTGGCCTGTTATCTATTAGTCTAGTCTGTGTATTCTACTGCTCTGTTCTAATGTCTGCCGCTATCCACTGGAAGTGACAGACGAGGACCTTGTGGAACTTGACCAGCCTTTCTAGCGTCTCTCCAGGCCCATTTACACAGGTGAGTAATCTGCTGATTAACCTCTTAACCTAACAGAACAAGCAGCCAAATGTAGAGTTATCTCACCCAATGACCTAGTCTCATTCATCAGTGAAACATATGGTGACACACTGGCAGTCACCTTGACCGTCCACCATTTTGTGGCCCTGCCCTATCGTTTAAGGCTCACTTAGACTTTGCAGTGTCTCCTCCTGCCGCAAGTACTGTGTTACCTAATGAGGGCAACACTTTAACGAGTGTCTTCTAATTGCTGTGATCCAGACAATTAGAGAAAGCCTCCCTGGCTAAACGATCTGGTTCGTTACTAGTCTCCACTGACGATATCACAACATGCGACAGTAAATGCACCCCCCCCTGTTTGTTTCTTGCTCCTTTACTGTCAGGGTTGCTCCCTATCTCATGCTCCTCTCTTCCCCTCTCATCAGAAGTCTTTTGTTTAGTTTTTTTCCTCCCACCAGCCTGAGGCAGTGATCGAATACTGGTGGGGAATATAATACACTGGGAGGATATGGTTATGAGCCAACACCTCAGCCTCAGGGAGGGATTTAGCCTCTACAAAGGGGGGTCAGCAATATCTCTTTAGTCACGGACAGAGGCTGATGTTTGATGCTGCTGAATTGAACTCATCTATTCCCCAGAATGGAGAGGTTTTCATTGTCAAAATGGAGGAACACATTTATTAGAGGGAATCAATAGCATAATCGGTTAAATTACATTACACACATTTAGCTCACAACTGATGGGGAATGCCAAGTAATAACCCTATTTAACCTCAAGGAAAAATATTATTCCAATATACCTGCTTGTGTGAGTAAACAAGAAACACACCAGTAATTGTATAGTGCCCATAACACTTTTATATCAGCCATTATCAGCAATAGTGCTCTCTACTCTACACTGAAACTGAAACATTGGTCAGACAATTTGCTAAACAAAGCTCTATGGTCCTACAAACTGAATTGTATCCAATAGACTTATCTGAAGTAATGGAACCACATTAGTTATATATGTAATAATATTTTCACGCTACGCATAAAGTAATTACCATCGAATACAATTAGAATGATTTACTTACATTGGGTACAGCTATGTTTGCTCTGCCTGCAGTTCTGTTCTTCCGATTCAATGTTGGTGCAATGAAGATGAATAACTAACTACATGTAGTTGTAATTATTACTTTATTTTTCAATTTCAAGTAACTTCACTTAAAGATAATGTATTCTGCCTGGTCCCCATTAATACAAACACACATAAACAAAATGCAAGAGAAAATACCCAGAGGGAGAGCAAAATATTTACGAACAACATATTGAGATGAGGCACTAACTTGTTGATTTATCTTCTTTGTTTGACATTTTTTTTATGATATCAGCCATCAGTAGGCTCATGCACAATTCCCTATTATGCTAATATAAAGTTGTGTTCAAATGGCAGGCAGAATACTAGGAATACACATTACTTTGATCTGTTCTTGTCTTTTAAACAAACAGCCAACCAGGGATGCTATTTTCTTCTGTAAGTAATGGTTAATGTATTTTGCAGGGACTAATAGTCATACAACATTTTGTCAGTTTTGATTCAGATTTTAACCCTCCTATTGTCTTCGTTTTCCCCCCCTTACTTTGGTGTTCGCGGTCAAATTTGACCGGTCCTTTTTTAACTGCTATTACATTAACACAAAAACCATTAATCATCACCAAATTTCATTTAACACCCTTTCAAACTGTAAATATTGTATCAGACTACTGGTACACATGAACAACTGCAGTAAATGTACAAAGAATAGACACTGAACATGTATTGCGTGTGCCAGGTGTAATCCATGTGGGGGGATGGGCACATAAGAGCGGGAAATGTGTCAAATAGTTCTGTGTGTGTGTGTTTGTGAGTGCCAGGTGTGATTCACATGGGGGGATTGGGCACATAAGGGGGGGGACACATCTAGAGTATGTGTGTGTGTGTGTGTGTGTGTGTGTGTTTCTGTGTGTGTTTTATCTGATCCGGATGGTTACTAATTCCTTTTCTTTATGGCAGTCATTTTTGACCGGGAACACCATGGGTGTTACAAAGTTGACTAAATCATCCAAAATTCAATGAAAGTGGAGATCAGCAATTGTATATGTTCAAATGTCTACTGTGAAGGATATCATAAAGCCTTAATGCAATCGAATGTAAAACAAAAAAGTTATGATTGATGAAAGTAGTAAATCGGTCAGATTTGACCCGAAGACAACAGGAGGGTTAATAACAAAGTGACAATAACAGTTCTTTGTTCAGTAACTATAGCAATGAGTCACTTAATCAGTCGTTCTGGTCCCGAATCACAGATGTGAGTACCAGAGTGGCTATCAAGGGCACTCACTTATGATAGTCATCTTTTCACGTTCAACTATGTGTGTTAGTGTGTGTGAGAGAGAGTCTGTGAGTGTGTGAGAGTGTGTGTCCTCTTGGGACAACATTAACAGTATGATTATAATTGCAGATGTCAGATACCAGAAGCTGTTTACACAAACAAACATTTCATGTCTCGTAATTTATTAAACCATCATTCCTTACACGTGCAAAAACAAACAGACACACACATCTGCAGCAAAACACACACAAAAGAGAGACAACATTAGACAAAACACACAAACTAAAAGCATGGTATAAAAATAGAGCTAGCACTGTAAAGTGCACCTTATAAAGTGCCTTCAGTTGCTTTCCAAGGTTACTGAGAGTACCGGTCTGTCTTTATATTTAGATTCTCTGGCGGCAGTAGTTGTTGTCATACACATAAAATGTTTGGACAGATCGTATACTGCATACTTAATCTTTTTCCGGAGTGACAATGTTATTGCTGTTGGGTAGGTAATTTGATGGAGTAAATTGATTTGTGCTTTAAACTATTTACAGTATCTAACTCATCATCACAAAGTAATGATATATTTTGTTGCACCGGAGGGAGAGTTGGCAATGGGAGAACAAGTACAAAGGATCAATATGGCTGTCATACCAAGGATAAATGTTTTAATTTCCTTCCAACTTTTATAGAACGTTTTAGATGTTTAGTCAATCTGGCACAGTTAAACACTGTCCCTGGGACATGTGCTTCTGTTGTACTAAAAACAATGGTTATTTGCATGTCATTACTGAGCACGTGTTAGCAGATGTTTTAATAGACTGCAGCCCTCCTTTGTTCCTCTTGTGTGACAGATCTATCTCGAGGCTACATTTCAACATCAACAAGATCTGTGGTGCTGCCTTAAAAGAGCATGTCACTGCGGCACAGCATTGGTTCTAACATGTTTTGACTCATGTGTGGCAACATGAGAAAAATATGTCAAGTTTACAGCAAGGTCTCTTTGCAACAGAAACAAGTGGAGGGTAAATCAAGGATGTATCTCCCTTACTTTTTCTTAAAAGGGAATGAGGTTGACCAGATGCTCCAGAGACACCTAGATGACCGAGGTCACAGAGGTACATTAAAAGCTTAAGGCTGAAATATGTCCATCTCATATGGTTACATATCTGTTAGGAGGCCATATGTGCACTAATTCAACTTTCACAAAGGTCTCAATTAGTGTGATTATGTTGTACTCTGTAGGGAGGGAAATAGGTGCAGGACAATTAGCAGTCTACAGGAAGTCACTGATAAACTGTTTCCTTACTGTTCAGTCTATATGCTAAGCTCCAGTGATCTGCTATGTTTCTCTACATTTAAGAGTAAAATAGAGGGAGGGAGAATAAGAATAATCCTTAAAACATCCCTGTTCACCACATGTGCGTTACATTTGACAGAACAGATATGTTGACGTCTTTCAACCTGTCAAATAAGCTAATGATTTAAACCAAAGACGTGTGTTTCGTTGCATCACGTCTCATCAGTTAAAGCAGGGGTGGGGAACCTTTTTCCTCTCAAGGGCCATTTCAATTTTTTCAACATCCTCCGAGGGCCGTACAAATTATTGACCTCTGCTTAAAAATACTAAAATCACAGCCCATTCATTTGGCCTTTCTTTCATGCTGTGCAAAGAAAAAGCAACCTCTTAATCCAGATATCTTGCCATGACTCGCGTATGCATGCATGTGCACGGTTGTGGCATGACCACATGATTTAAGTCGGGGGGGACCTAACCTCCTCTATGGGGGTCCCATGCTCCCCCGGGAAGATTTTTTTTTTAAATGTTGAAGTTAAAAGCGTCAATCTGGTGCAATTTGAGAGCAAAATGAAGAGATCTATGGATACATCTCTCAACACCCATATGAAACAGAACTGTAAACGGATTTTATTTTTCTTTATGGATATTTTACAAATCACTCCCCTTTCAAACTGTATTCTTGTTTATTAATAACAACCGGAGCGACGTTCTGGTGCTCTCCGGCAGAACTACACCCCTCTCAGACGAGACATATACCACGTGATGACACGTTAGGCTCGTGTTGTGTTCAAGGACCCTGACCTTGGCCAGGAAAAACAGGCACTCGCTTGTTTAATTATTTTACGGTCTAGATTTCTTAAATTTTTTTCTTTTTTGCATGTGTTTATAAATTACCTCGAGGGCCGTACCAAATGGTCTCGCGGGCCGTATACGGCCCGGGGGCCGGAGGTTCCCCACCCCTGAGTTAAAGCATCGCATGTAGACCACAGAATGGTGCACTTGATGTGGAAGCTTCCATCTGTAGGCCGTTTTGCAGCAGCACTAACAAGTCCCTCCTAGCAACCATTCAGTTTATTTCATTTGCAGAGGCTTTATCTGTACTGCTAGAAACATACAGACTGGAGTTGTTATTACAGACTTGGTGTAGAGGGGATGCAATGTGCTCCCTTTATGTGGGCTGTTGGGGCCCTGCAATGACTTCAATTTAAGAAGCATGTCACATCTGGTGGCCGATGTGGTGCTGATATAGACGTGGCCATGCATACATAATCACATTTTTATAAAACTGCCTGACATCTCACACACACACTAAAATGACCCAGGGCTCACAACATCACTGCTCGATTCTGCCCTCTTTAA